TGTGTACTGCCACTGAAGAAAATACAACGCATTGTGAGACGTTAGAAGGTGGTAGCCGGAATTCGATTGGGGTTTAATCATATCGGTGGTAGCCAATCCACAAAAGTTCTAGACACACTGAGGGAAAGATGAATATAAGGAAAGGTGTACTAAACAAAAGCTTCCAAAGAAGCATACTACGATTTGTATCAAACATTTACTTTGTTCTTGAAATGAGAAGTCACTCTTTACAAATGTGATATATATAAATCACATTTTAGTCTTGGCATGCTCATCAGCCTACTCAGATATCAACCCAGTATCCATGAGGTTCCGCCTCGTTCTCTCAAAAACCTAATCAGATTTATACAGCTCTTTGGTTTACACTTTATTTCTCAACTTTTATTTAACCCGTCTTTGACTTATCTGCCCTCTCACTCTCACTTTCCAACCCCAAATCCTGTTGTTTCTCCCAGGATTTCATTTTCCATTACTTTTCTTGGAAGTAGGACTTTGGCGAGGGTGCACACTAAAAATTATTAGAATTTTCCATTTATCCATCTTTATCCGTGTGAATAATTAGAGTACAGGCAACCTCGTTTGACTGAACTTGACTTGAGAGTGATCGCGGGAACACGGATGGACAAACACGATTGTTTTCAGAGCTACCTCAACTCGCCAAATATAGCATAATTTCTAATGAACTAAACAGAGGGAGATATGAGACAAATAATTACTAAATAAATGGAAATTTGAAATGCAATAATACCATTGTTATAATTGGTATGCGTATGTTTGTGTAAGTGGAATATAGATGAGGGAGTGGAAGAATGAGTGGGTGAATAAATGAGAGTGTATCAACACGTGTTATGTCACTAGATTGTAAGTGGATGGCCATAGTAAGATTAGTGTTCGTGCATAATGTTGCTCGGCGTGGGTGGAGCGTCAAAAGGAATGATATTCGTCTCGGTTGATGATAAAATTTGAGATTTGACATCTTTGAACAACATTTCCTCAACCACTTAGGAAGGGCGGGAATACCCATCAAAATCACTGTGTGGTTAGACCCAATCGAATGATTCATAATCATCGTACCTCGTACGTTGTATCCTTGATTCAACCAGCTACGGTGACTCTACTTGATGCGATTAGGTGGATGTCTCATGTTCCGCCCACATAACTTGCTCCACACGCGCAGGCGAACAGGTAAACTAAGAATATAAAAATAACTGATGGATCGTCTGGTTGACAATCCACCTGTCGTCCACTGTCCAATGTTTTAAAAATAGAATCGATGCAGCTTTTCGTTATTTTCATCATAGAGGGGCACAGAAAAGCAAACGTGTCAGGATCATGTAGGCACAGGATGGCATTCATTTACGAACCGGATTGCATCAAACTGGGATTTGTAAAAATCGTATTGCGTTCGTTGCAATAAGAATATGCTCATCTCATTGAGAAATAACTATCGTGTTTCAATTGGTTCAGTTGAAGGTAGCCTACTTTAAATGCCTGTGATTCATCTACGTGTTTTCCCGTGTTTAACCTTTCTCTTCTCTATACCATGGCAAGATTATAACGAAAATGACGAAATTCATTTGCAAATGTCAATTGAAGTTAACTAAGCGGCTTCTAGGGGACATTTGCGAAACGGATCGAATATCACTACGATTTTGCTGATATAAAGATAGAAAGTTCTATTTTTTCATGATCAA